TGGTACGTATAAGTCTTTACACCTACCTATTCTTTACTCTTACAAGAAAAGATTCAAACCTCATACTACTCAAAAGGCCTAAGAAGAGTGAAGAAAATTATCCATTAAGGGTGTGACCTCTTCTTGGATCATGCGTTTCTAGATACTGCCAATCTAGTATGCAAAAGGACTAAGTCACGTAAGGAAGGCTAAGGCATATGGCTGCACATGGAGAGGGATTTCATGTGAGGGTTGTGCTATGTAGAAAGTGATCATTTCGTTATGATTTTCGTTATCAATTTGTTTGATCAGAAACTGTCAGGGGAGGTGAGAAACTCCATTGTTAATTTTCTCAACCTTGTAAACATTTTGATCTTAAGGTAAATCTTTTCTTTTAGATCACTGTTTTACATTCTTTTCGTAATAATTTGTTATAGTTTCGAATCTATTTAAGTAGATTTATAGTTATATTTACGAGAAACTATTTATATAAGGTGCAGTTATACCGGTTATCCCAAACTTATGGTGGTAAGATTTAATTTTCACCTATCAACTTTTTGGATAAGCCACATGTAAACTATGTGTGGTGCATCTAGCCTTCTTACTGCATGTCATCGAAGTTTACATATTAGGTAAGTTTGACGCAGTGATGTCTTAAGTATCTATTCTTTTGAAGATGTGCATAGTACCTTTTATCACGAGATGTGATATGCGTAAGATGTGATAGCTTCTTCCGTGTGTGGTATGCTTAATTTGGAGTTTTCTTGATATAGTGACAGAGCAGATGTGTTCTCACATGATCTTTTACTTGTCAGGATCCAATGTAAGATTGCAAAATGCGCCAGAAAAATATGTTTAAAATGAAAGTGTGATACACTATAATGTAGTTTTTTTTAGAGCTTTACAGGCTCTCTTTATGTGAAAGTAAATTTTAGGCTTTATTTGGTAGTAGCGAGACATAAACTTCTACCCCAATCATGAGGAAATGATGACCATTGTGATATGCCCAAAAGCATGCCATGGGGCTTGCATGCCACTGAGACATCATAACTGGTCAATCTTCACCAAAGAAGACCAATGGTGGATGACTGAAGAGTATTGCATTGTGATTACACGGGCATAATAGTTTGTTTCAACTAACTGAAAGTTAGAGTATCTCCAACCCACCATTCTATTTTTTTATTCCAAAAAATGGAGTTGGATGCAATTCCAATCTCACTCCATTTTGAAATAGAAAATAGAGTGATGAGTGAAAAAAATAGAATAAATACGATTACTGCATAGTTGAAATAAACCTAGCTTTTTACTCTATTTTGGAATTGAAAATAGAGTAGAATTTGAGAGGAATTTACTTCAAACTCTGTTTAAGAGTGAAAAGTGAAAATGGGATTCGAGATGCTCTTACTAGAGACAACGCTTTATTCCTTGAGTTTGGTTAGTTAAAAGTTAACAAATTAAAAGAACAGCTTTTTGTTATATTATTCGGTTCTAGTTTAAAATTGTACCATAAATTTTAGATTTAGGCATGTCCAACGGCAGTTAACTGCAAAATGACATGTTAAAGCATTTGTCGATCCAACTCTCCTAAGATTTGTCATATAACCAAAGGTGTGGTAGCCTAGTGGTAACACAAGAAGGTTGATTCCCTTGTGCCCCAAGTTCAAACCCCCTTTGGTATGGAGGGTTATTCTTTAAATCGGAAGATCCAAAGACCCTTCGGTTACTGAGGAGATTATGAGCTAAAGGTTCAGAACTCTCACGCTTTATACAAGGTGGATATATAGGACTTGACCTGGTTTTTTAACTAGAAATGGCATGCTCAAGCTACATATATAGTTATGAACTTATGATGAAGCTCTTATTTACAGTCGAGTAATTCCAGTATATTGTCTCATGAAAACTGCTTTCTTTGCTTCGTGAATATTGAGGTTTACGTATTTTTATGTACTCCATATTAAGTTATTAACTAAGTTCAATCAAATGAAAACCACTAGCTAGTAGCATGTGCTTTGTTTTCCCCCATCGTACAAAAGCATTAAGTGTAGTCATAATGATAGATTAATAGATTCTTACGAACTGCTACATGGAATGTTAAGTAGTCATGAATTCAAAAGTAGGATTTGGTATAGAGTTAGTGTCTCTCCAAATTAAGTTCAAAGTTGAGAAGTACGAAACTACTGAATTAACTCGCTCATTCCCAGGACTCCTCGAAACACCCAAATCCTACGTACGTTTTAGCTTTTTTTACCCTCTCTCGCCAACAACACATACCCTAAAGCAACAACATCAAACCCTAGAAGAAGATAGTCACCATCACACTTCATATGCCAAATTGTTACTATTAATTACTCAAATGGAGATTTTCCCCAAATGGAATGCCTTTGAGCCTTTCTCTCTCGGAACCCATTATTGCTTTCTTCATGGTCCTGCATTCCAAACATTTCAACAATTAATTAAACTCAAGATAAATTAATTAAAAAATATACATATTCAGCTGGAATGCTTTTATTAGTTGAATGTGTTTTCTATAAATATAAACTGTGTGCAGTGTGAGTTTCAATACTATAAAAGGGTTTAGGTCATAAATTTCACACATTGTAGTAGTTGAGGATCAATGATTCTCACTACCCTTCTCCTTGATGTCACTCTAATAATCAGTAAAAAGGAAATCTTTTTATTAAAATTAAACTAGCTAGCTAGGGTTATGAATTTTTTACTGAGAGTGATGCTATTTGGATCTATCTGGTTTGCTTTGGAAATGACATTTTTGTATGTGGAGTTTATTTCTCAAATATACTACTATATGATGATTAATTTTGAAGCTAGATATAACAGTAATAAAAACATAATTAGTTACCGAAACTATACCTCGAGTGCATTGCATGGTAATACTGCATTGTTATTTTCCTCGCAAAAACATTGATCTGAAGCAGCTCTCTTGTTGTGCACTGGAGGGAAATGGGCCCACTTTCACCATCCC